CATGGATTCAGAGTCAAAATGGGGATGCCCGTGAAGATCCGTGTTAGAATTGGTCTTCAGCAACCCATGCTTGTCGTAAGAGGCGACTAACGGGATCGGGAGGTCAGGCTCGCTGACGTGGTTGACACGTCATCGTATCCAAATTGTACAGATCCATGCTCATGCTGTTGATCACTGGATCGTCTGATCCAGGCTCGATTACTTACAGACCGCCGTCATGTAGCTGGAATATTGCCGAGTGCGGCGTTAAACAACGAACATACGAACCAGAATCACCGTATGCCTATCAGATGGGTTGTTCTTACTCGATCAGTCACAACTGAAACTCGAATATTTACCACTGGAAACAGTTGGAACATTGCTGACGATTCGCAGACAGCATTCATTAACCCACTGACTGTTCCCACGCATGACATATCCATTGACGATGATTGTCTGCTGACATGCCTCTGCCATCTCAACATGGTTTCCATGGAGGACATGTTTGAAATCGCACTAAAAATATGCAATATTCTTTTTCTTGGGATGTGCCGATAGCGTCACAGATATGTTTGGCAGTCTCAGAGAGCTCTACTGCATGATGCGAAATTCGACGAGATATTTCATGAAAGCAGGATTTTACAGCTCTTGTGGCACAGTGCCCAGACGGCTTAAAACACTACCGCCATGCACGCGTCCAACAACTGCAGATGTTCGACAGTGAATTGATTTGTTATCAAATTAAAAATTGAATTAATAAATTCCAGTCTATATTACGACATGCTGCAAGTCGGGCATATGATAAACATGTGGTCCAGCGGCAAGCAGTTCTCACAGCTTTGTTTTAATACTGCGTGCGGTTCCTAACTTGATTACGCCTTTTGGTTGGAGGTCTAAATGAGATTAAGCTCAGATTGCAAAACGGACCTCTGTCGAGTTGGACGAAAATTTAATGAAATGATTTCTGCTGCTTGTGGTGTTTTGATGAAGCCAAGAGTTACTTCCCTTGCAAGATCAGTCCCTGCTTGAGGATATTACGGAAATGACAATGTACCACCCTTTCTTGTGATTCGGAAATATCAAATCTGAAAATTACGTAAAATTTTGAAAAGTTGTAATCAAACGTTGTGGGCTTCAAATAAAGATTAATACATAAGTGTGACTAAATGACAAGGTCAATTCATCGACACCAGACCTTTGGTCTGCTGCGCCAGGGTGGCGGTGGCGGGAATATCGAAGCATGCGAAATATCATCGAGCGATAACCATGACCTGCCTCAATCATTGACGAGCCTACAACATATTTTCCTTGGCACTGAAACAATTTCTCTAACTGGAGCCAAAGCAGGTGTGTTCAAGGCATGGCACTCATACCTCAGCATCTTATTGGGAACTAAAACTGGTCTATGGCTACAGAACCACAACAATCTCTTCTTGCAAACTGACTTTAAACAGAACACATTCCATCTAAAGGTAAGGTTTGACCACAGGGAGTGAGTATGGTTTCACGACGCATTAGCAATATTCCAGCAGTGTCACAGTTTAGGAAACCAGAAATGGGCATTGTACCCAAGTGGGGAATCGAATCGGTATACTTGTCGTCACGATCGAACGCTCTTACCACTAGGCTACTGGATCAGCAATATCATGGCTGGGGACATTAGAAATGGACTTCACTCACTGACCCACGTGGGTAATCGCACACAGGTCTTTGGCGTGACGAGCAAACGCTTTAACTACTGGGCTACCACATTGCCTCTCATGTAGGTTAAAGGGGCGGCTGGGAAGCAAAGTGGTTGAAGCGTTTGCTGGTCACGCCGAAGACCCATGTTCGATTCCTCACTGTGTGAAGCCTATTTCTAGTGTCACCTGCCTTGATATTGCTGGAATATTGCTAAAAGCAGGATAAACCTAAACTCACACTCATGTTGGTTCGACACCTACAACAAAGAACTGTTTCAACATTTTGCCAGTCCTTGTATGGTGCTGATGTTACTTTAACTGTCATCACCAACATTACAACTGTGTTCTGGTGGACTGGAAATGATCATCAGTCACACACACACACACACACACACACGTGTGATTGATGTCATGAGCAACAACTGGTGTTTCAAATAATGTCCACAGTGTCCGGCCATATGTGACCAAATTGTTTCCTCTTTCAGTTTTCAGTCAGTGACTCAATATTACAATGACGTACAGAACAGAGAATGACACCACATAGGCGGATCAAGGAATTGTCATGGGGGTTGGGGGTGGGGGGGAAAGAGAGAGTAGTTGTTTGAACCCCACCCCCACGATGCACCAGACCAGCCAAAGGTGATCAATACTATTATCAGTTTTGACTGGGTGTGGCTCCCAATTTTCATTTTTATCACTGCTATGTCTTTTTCTTTTACCAGAATTGTTCATAGCTATTAACTACACAACTGAACAAAGTTGTGCACAGTTTCAACATAAATTTTCCCACTGTCATAAATTGAGACCTGCGTTGTTGTTTTCTAACAAAGCATGTATGTGCTTGCTTTCAACAAGTGCCATGCTGTGTTACTCAATGTCATACAAAATTCAGTGATGTAATGACATGTTTTGTGACTGTTCAATGGCAACAGCTGTTAGACTTTTACCTGTTTTGTTTGCTTCCTTCCATCATGTGATGTGGTCCAGTATCAGCTGCCATCTTGAGGAACATCTCACATCACAAGATGCAAGTTATGGGATCGGGTGGTCAGGCTCGCTGACTTGGCTAACACTTATCAATGTATTCCTATTGCTTATATAAATGCTCATAATGTTGATCACATGATTGTCAGATCCAGACTTGAATATTTACAGACAACTGTCATATTGCTAGAGTGAGTGAGTGAGTTTTACGCACTCAGCAATATTCCAGCTATATGGCGAGGTCTCTAAATAATCGAGTCTGGACCAGACAATCCAGTAATCAACAGCAACAGCATCAGCATCGACCTGCGCAGTTGGGATATGACATGTCAACCAAGCCAGCTACCCTGACCACCCGATCCCGTGAGTCGCCTCTTATGACAAGCATGGGTGTCTGAAAGTTCATTCTAACCCAGAGCTTCAGGGGTTCATATTGCTAGAATATTGCAGTTGTATCTGAGACATGTATCAACATGATCACTGCTGACATCCGGCACATATTTCCACAAGACACATGGATTCAGGACAGGAAAACAAAGATGTGGTAATGGACAAATCTTTAATCCTGATGCAGTACCTCTTCTTGAAGATCAGACAACCTTATACTAACTAATCATGGGTCGTTCCGCACCCAATCAGATTTCAGATTTCTGAAAAAGTGAACCTTATTTAATTTCCACCATCATTTGGCAATTTGGATATACATGAGCAACAGCTCACCCAAAACACTTTATGGCTCTGATGGTACTCCCTTGTAGGTAACCCATGAAGGTCCGGGTTAGAATGAACCTTCAGTAACCCATGCTTGTTGTAGGATCGGGTGGTCAGGCTCGCTTGCTTGGTTGACACATGTCATCGGTTCCCAATTGCGCAGGTTGATGCTCATACTGTTGATCACTGGATTGTCTGGTCCAGACTTGATTATTTACAGACCGCTGCCATATAGCTGGAATATTGCTGAGTGCAGTGTAAAACTCAACTCACTCACTCACTCATCCTTGTAGGTGAAGCAACAGCTCTCAACAACAGAATGCACAAAATGCCCACAGCAAAATAATGGTGTACCATTAAATATTCGGTATTATTACAAAGTTAACATTATTATCATTCAGAATACACAATACTATTTAGAGACTGGTCATATGTAACATGTAATATACTTCTCTTCAAAAGTTTAGACTCACTTATACACTCACTATATGTTATGCATATATATATATATATATATATGGTTACATCGAAGATTGATTTCTCCACTAACTTGGGGGAACCAACTGCCAACTGTATGCAGATCAATTGCACAAGGATCATGCGTCAAATTGCTGAAAAGCATGTGCAAATATCGTGCATGTGTACAGCTCAGTTTTGGTGTAAAGTTTTGTTAAGAATTCGCCAATTTTCACTGATTTTTATCATTTACTGAACTCATGACAATAATGTTTTCAACGTTATGAATTTGTTTTACAATACATCAGTTCATGTGTAAACAGTACCTTTAAACAGTATGGAATATTTTCCAAAATTTAGTTTGGAACAGATGCCTGAAGTAAGTTGCTATATTTACACTAGTCTAAACTTTTGATGAGAAGTATATTTGGGATAACACTTCCTCAGTACACTACAGCTTGTAGAACTTATGGGGGAAATTTGAACTCACACTCAGGTGCACCCCAGTCAGTATCTACCACACTCAACAGAAGTGGAAGCCGCAGTGCTGGTGATTAAGTGCCTGACTCTGAGGGTGGGAGTTTGAATTCCAGATGGGACTCAAACCCCCAAAAGTACTAGAATCTGTACTTTACTGAAAAACCGTAATCCCAAATAGAACATGTGTTCATGTAAGTTCTTTTCCAGATACAAAGAATCATATATCAGATCACTTTGAATATTTTGTTGTAATACACTAATGACATAACATGTGCAATGCTGATTGGCTGATATCACAATTCTACTAACTCAGCCTCTCATGAACGGACTTTCCAATCGACACTGTTTACACACAGAGAGGTGTCATATTCCAGGAAATGATATTTCAGTGAGATTGCTGAAACAGTAATATTGATTCTTAACAAACAGTTCGACTAAGATCCAAGGCCTGGATTTAACTCTTGATCTAGATGTAATAATGTTTTAAGTGAGTATAGTGTATAGCCGCCATATAGCTGGAATATTGCTGAGTGCTCAATAAACAACAAACCAACCAACCCATCAAAAATTGTACTCATGGGAAATCACTGGATTGTCTGGTCTCTGACTTGATTATTTACACACTGCCTTTATAAAGCTGGAATATTGGTCGATACTGTGTCAAACAACACAAACACACATATTACCAGCAGTTAATTAATCAACAACTCGATTTACATATTTATTATCCTGTAAAATTCCAGCAGGGAAAAGAAAACTTATTTGGAAGAGAATGAATTTATCAAATAAGAAAAACAGACAAACAGAGGAATTATTTCAACATGCCTTCTTACCATGCTTCTTCTGGTATAACACACACCTGCTAATTAATGGATGACACGCAACAGGTGCATCTGTGAAACAATACATTCAGTTGGCCTTTCCTCAGATCTTACAATGTCAGTCTGGACTGCATATTCTCAACCAGGCTACAAGCAGAGTTCATCTTGATTCAATGAGGCCTTATTGCTTTACCTCGCTGCTTGGCAGTGGACTGGTTTCTCAGCTGTCAGTTGGCTGAGCTGGCAAGAGTTAGCTCCCTTCTTCCTGGTCTTCCAGGGACAGAATATACTGCCACTCCTCTGCCAACAGAATATGGGTGCAGGTAAATCAGTGGGATGGGAGGCGTCTAAGTAACGTAGGTTGTAGATGTTCTGTTTTGTATGTTTGTCGTTTAACACTACACTCAGTAATATTCCACCTATATTGCGGGGTATGTAAGTACTGGAGTCTGGACCAGACAATCCAGTGATCATCGATCAAGGTAATTGGGATACGATGACAAGTGTCAACCAGGGGCCCATTTCACAAAGCTCTCGTAAGCCTAAGATCTCGTTACTTTTCTCGTAGCATTCGTACCTCCTATACTGTAACATAGGAGGCACGAATGCTACGAGAAAAGTTACGAGATCTTAGGCTTACGAGAGCTTTGTGAAACGGGGCCCAGGTCAGCTAGTCTGACCACTTGATCCTGTTGGTCGCTTCTTATGACAAGCTTGGGTTTCTGAAGACCAATTCTAACCCGGATCCTCACAGGTTGGTGAAGTCTGTGGGCATGGGAGTAGCTGACATAGTTAGGATAAAGGGCTGGGATCGTCTGAGATTTACAGGCAGTTCCTGGTGTCAACGATGATCAGTTTCACATGGAATAAGTTTCAGTCGGATCAAATATTGCCTGTATAAATTTATATGGGTAAATTTATCATTAGAAAACAGCTTCATCGAAATCATTCCTTCATAGTATAAATTTCACAACTGGAAAAGATCCCATTACACTGGCAAATCATTGAGATATCAAGGAACTAACAGTAACTTTACTGGATTTTAAGGGCAGATCCATACAAAGGACACAAGAAATAAGTTACTGAAGATCAGCAATAATTACTACCTGCATGTACAACCAGCTTTACATACACAAAGAACTTGCTATATACACACAGAGAACCAGCGCTATGTACATGACAAACTTGTTTACCTATATATGAAACCACTTATACTTAAATCAAAAACTGCTACATGTATATTACACAGCAAAACACAAGCCATGGGTTGTTCATAAATGGATGACATGGTGAACTCACAGCAGTGTATGAAACATAGCCCGTCCACCGCTTGACGGTCTATTTTTGTGAAGGACGGTCTATCAAATAAGTAAGGCCGTCCTTTGGTCGGGGGAAATCTTTGTTAAAGTAAATTTAACTTGGTTTGAACTTCGTCTTATCTATTATATTTTCATTGTTTTAGTTTTTGGGACTGGCTGTGTTTGTTCAAGACTGGTCACCTTTTTGGACAGCCAGTCCTTGGACCGGCCATATTTCAAAACTATTTTATACACTGCTTACATGGTGAACAAAAAATAAAGTTTTGATTATTGTATCCTGACAATCATCATAAAGACATCGAATGTTCATGCTGTGCTATAATATCTATTAAAGGCTTCATCAGGATGTGTTAGTTGTAATTATTCAGATCTCTATGAGAGACCACCTTACACCATGGTATGTGTCTGACCTGTCTGAACAGGCTGAAAAAGGATGGCATGGAATGAGTGGGTCTTACCTTCTCTCACAGGTTGCACCGACAGTCTGGCTCGTGTGAAGAGAGCTATGTCCTTAAGTGGCCCGCCAGTCTGCTTGTGTTCCTGGCGTAGGGACTTCAGCTCGGCCAGCGAGATGAATCTCTTCAGGGTCCTTTCATACTTCACGTCGACCATGAACCAACGAGGGTCATCTGTGCTGGCCTTGCTAGGAAACAGGGACACATCCTGCTATCATTTCAACAACTTATAACACTGAAGGAGGGCAAAAATTGAGCAGAAAACATTGTAATCATCTGCTGACAAATGGGGTGACAAGTTTAAGTTTTAACCCCTGAGCAGTCATATTTTTCAGTTGTTATACGTTTTCAGACAGCAGTTTTTCAGTCACTATGAAGCTGGTTGCATCACAGACATTGTAAATATAGTCAAACCCTATTGTGTCGACTTTTCCAAGTGTTCGAAACATCCGTCTGCATAGAAATAATGATAAATATACGGAAATTGGCAGTAACTGAGAGATGAATTCAACACAACCAAACATTCATCTCAAGGAGTTCGAGACATTGGGGTTCGACTGTACTCAGATGACAGGGCTCAATTTAAGAGATTTTAACCTACTTGCACCAGGTGCAACCTAAGATAAAAACGTAGTTGCACCAGCCAAATTCCAGTTGCACTGCAATATGTAATGAAAGAAATATGCTGTTGAATTATTCAAAGTTTACAAGAAAAATGAGCTGACATAATTATAACGTTAAATCTATTGTTGATGTATTTCTCAAAAATTGACTTGCCACTGGTGCACACTTTACTAGGAACTAGGTTGTAATTTTGGGTTGCACCAGTGCAAGTAACAAAGCACTAAATCAAGCCCTGGATGATGACTTGTGTTTGAGATAAGTCGTCTTTAAGAAGTTATTGATATCTTTAACAAATGTTCAGGAGATAACTGAGCAAGCAATGGAGGTTCGAAGGTGTCTGAAACCCATAACATCTTCCCTCTTACCAAGTCTCAAATCTCAAACCAAATGTTCAGGGGAAGTAATAGGAATCACCTGTCATAATGGACGTCCTTCTTATCGAACTGAGTGTGGTCCGGGTAACTCTCCTTCACTATCTGTGAACAAAGAAGCATGAGAAGTGGCTCTACACTGCATAGAACTCAGAGAGCTACAAATCTCACCATTTATCCAGTCAGTGAGGTGAGGTGAGGTGAAATTGGGTTTTACGTCGTGCTTGAGAATATTTCGCTCATATGACGACGTGCATGCGTGTGTGTGTGTATGTGTATGTGCGGCTGCTTGTACTAGCCCAGACTTATGCTGGTTTTATAGTGCTAGCCCACTGAGATACCATGCCGCAGTGAAGCATGAATACCCCACTCAGACACAGTATACTGACTCCGAGCCGACCAGTCCTTGTTGTACCCATTAATGCCGAGCGCCAGGCAGGGACCAACAAGTACCATATTTTAACGTCTTTTGGTATGACGTGGCCGGGATCGAACCCGAAACCTTCCGCTCTCCGGGAGGACGCTCTAACCACTACACCACGGAGGCGGTCCCAGTCAGTGAGTATACACCTTCACCCCTTGACTAGTCAAAGAGAAAACATATTCACTATTTGGCCAGTCAAATAGTAACCAGTATCGCCACTTAGATACACAATCACTAACCAATATCAAAACTTAGCCAGTCAATGAACACACAGTCTCATTATTCATCCGACCTGTGAAGGTCATCTTCAATTACCCATACTTGCCGTGAAGGTCTGGGTTAGAATATTGATCTTCAATTATTGTCTGGTCCATATTATTTGCCGCCGTGGAATAAGAGGCATTATTCATCCCGCCATTCAGCAAACAGGATCGAAACATAATGCAACAGTGGTCTAGACTTGTAACTCTAGCTGACTTGGTTGTACATCCATTTCATGTCATCAGTAACCCATGCTCCCAATTAACGGGATCGGGTGGTCAGATCGATGCTCGCAGATTGATGCTGTTGATCACTGGATTGTCTGGTCCAGACTCGATTATTTACAGACCGCCGCCATATAGCTGGAATATTGCTGAGTGCAGCATAAAACTAAACTCACTCACTCACATCCATTTCCAGGGTATGTATGACTGGCTAAGGACAAACTAGGGATGACTATTGAGGGGGAAACAACTATTGCGATAGTGATAGTCTATTGCAACATACTATTGCAACAGCGATAGTCTATTGCAATCAATTCTTGCAAAACTAATTTTTCTCTCCTTGAATTGTCTCATTTGAAGCCATTTCCCAAATGATTGTATAGTTTATATGACATAAAAAACAAGTTGAAGTAGATTCAGTCTCTTTTAATACCTGACAAGAAACTTGAAACCCAGATCAAGTAAACAGTTTAAACATAAACTCAATGAAGCTGAAAGGCTGCACCCAAACAATGTTTGCTTCAGAGATAATAGGGGCAGATAACTCTCAATCAAAGTGGACGAATCTGGTACGTCCTGTATTTTGCACTGCACATTTATCAACGGAAGCCAATTACTGAACTATCGATAGTCACACATATTATCGATGCATCGATAGTTTTTCGTTTCTACTACAATTTATTGCTATCGGAGACTCAACAATTGCGATCCATCGATAGTTCGATTCATCGTTACAGCCCTAGGACAATCGTCCTCCAGCCCATATTTTTCTGGCTATTCCCAGACAACTGTTCCCCACCTGTATTACTCCAGCAATGCCAGGCTCCTTACAGTTGCTGTGATAGAAGAAGGCGGATTGTCCAACACGCATCTGGTCTCGCATAAAGTTCCGTGCCTGAAAAAAGTACCCGAACGTAATGGTACTGACAAACAAATTCCTGCCTGAAAGAAGTCCCCGAATGTAATGGTACTGACAAACAAATCCTGCCTGAAAGAAGTCCCCGAATGTAATGGTACTGACAAACAAATTCCTGCCTGAAAAAAGTACCCGAACGTAATGGTACTGACAAACAAATTCCTGCCTGAAAAAAGTCCCCGAATGTAATGGTACTGACAAACAAATTCCTGCCTGAAAGAAGTCCCCGAATGTAATGGTACTGACAAACAAATTCCTGCCTGAAAGAAGTCCCCGAATGTAATGGTACTGACAAACAAATTCCTGCCTGAAAGAAGTCCCCGAATGTAATGGTACTGACAAACAAATTCCTGCCTGAAAAAAGTCCCCGAATGTAATGGTACTGACAAACAAATTCCTGCCTGAAAGAAGTCCCCGAATGTAATGGTACTGACAAACAAATTCCTGCCTGAAAAAAGTCCCCGAACGTAATGGTACTGACAAACAAATTCCTGCCTGAAAGAAGTCCCCGAATGTAATGGTACTGACAAACAAATTCCTGCCTGAAAAAGTCCCCGAATGTAATGGTACTGACAAACAAATTCCTGCCTGAAAGAAGTCCCCGAATGTAATGGTACTGACAAACAAATTCCTGCCTGAAGGAAGTCCCCGAATGTAATGGTACGGACAAACAAATTCCTGCCTGACTTTCATTCCCAGTCAGGTTAATATTGCCAGTTATCCACAACATGGTGTGTCAAATTGGTTCATCTCAAGAACTGGATCAATCAAAGAAAAGGCTCCATGGTCAAGTTCACCAGCCTGACTTGATTGTTATGCATTTCAATTCTCGGACATATTGTCGTAATAAATAGGGATAAACTGAATATCATGACTTTTCATGCAAATATACAATACACCATACAATTTTTTTGCAAAACATCGGTAATTTCCGTACATCATGCGTGATTCAATGTTATTTGATATAAAGAATCACTACTACGAAGTAGTGCTGGTATTGGCATACAACCTGCGATACGATACATCACGATGCTAAAATGTCTACGCACTGTTCTAGCCATTTATAACCAAAACCGGTAGAAAATAGTCAACTTTTCATATCTGTGACCCAATTACGTTCTCCATTTCTATCATACAAAATCATCATATTGTAGCATCTTTTGGGTAATCTGTAACATGGCATATTTAAGATTTTTAACCAATATTTTAATACTTTCATTTTTGATTAAAAAAATAATGGAAATCTACCACATTCACCATAAGGGGTGGTGGGGTAGCCTAGTAGGTAAAGCGTTCGCTCATCACGCCGAAGCCCATTTCTGGTGTCCCCGGCCGTGATGTTGCTGGAATATTGCTAAAAGTGGCGTAAACCCAAACTCAGTCAGTCAGTCACATTCACCATAAACCATTATGCTCGAAGTAGTAACTTTCACACCGAGGAATCTTTTATTTGTATACAAACATCCTTTTTCTAAATGTTTGGAGTCCCCAAATCTCGGAACCATAAAAGTATGGGACTTATCTTAGCATCAAAGATTCTTAAAAATGTAATTTTCTGACTAAAATTGTTATTTTATACTTTTCCTGACTCATGCTAATTATGCTTGTCTCCTTCCTCTTGTGAATGATAGTGGAACACTTGAAATCCCTTGAAGTTCCCTTCTAAAAAAGCAGACGTAAAATCACTCACCCACGAGAGTAGCGTCCCTTTCCTCCCTTTGGCGCCCAAATGGTCACATGATCGGCCATATTTGTCACTCTCTCCCTGTGTAAGCCCGACACCCGGATTTACAGGGAAATCCAGAGTGCCATAAGAGGGGAGGTTGGGAGGGCTAACCTCATGAGTCAGGATAAGTATAAAACATAAATTTTAGTCAGAAAATTACATATTTTTTCCTTATCCTGACTCATGCTAATTATGCTTGCAGAATCCGTCGGAAACGGTGGTGGATCAAGCCACGTTCTGGATTCACTGGTTGTAGATTTACGTCCTGTATTACCCCCCTTGGGAACTTATGACGGCACTGTTGAAGATTCTTTCAACTTCTCTCTGATGAGTCTGGGGGGACCACAACTTGTCAGATTTCTTCCGAAACTTCTCCTGACATTTTCGTGTGGATTTTAGATATACTAATATTCCATTAGTTATCTATTGCAACTCCATCTCTTGATGCTTGCATCAAGTGGAGATGCGACCCTTCTTCATGTACGAGTATGTCCTATACAAGTACAGGGTCTATCACTCATGCTAGTCTGTCCTAGACATGTGCATGGACTTATAGCCATTGCTCTCCAAGTGGCCCAAACTGGTGAATGCCTGAGATGTCCGTGGTGGCAATGTCTCTGAGGTAGTGGTTGGCAAACACCGTGTTCGATCTCCATTATAGTTGTAATCGAGCAGTTTCCATGCAGAGCAAGTGCTGACGCCAGGGCTCTGACTTCATGTGGATTGGAGGCTCGTGGAGGCTCAAGTCCTGCTGCTTAATAGGCCCTGTTACGACGTAAATTGTAATAAAAACACAAATTGTAATACTTGAAGCAAATTGTAATAAACTTGACGTAAATTGTAATAAAAATTGATGTAAATTGTAATATGCAAATTGTAATAAAAATTGACGTAAATTGTAATACTTTTCGTTGCTGTAAAATGTAATAAATATTTACGTAAATTGTAATAACAGTTTTAATCACTCGTAAATATGTGCGTGTTTGTATTTCATTGCATTTCATACATTATATAAGCTTGTTAGGGCGATAACTCAAGAAAGAAATAATGAATTTTGTTCAAATTGGGTACCAAGGTATATTGGCGAGCTTCACTGACACAAGTGAAATTAAGTGACCTTGAGATAATTTGCAAGGTCACACCAAAATTCTGAGGGTTTTGCCAATATAGAGATTGTTAGCACGATAACCCAAGAAAGAATAGACTAATCTTAGCTAAATGACGAAAATGATATTCGTCCTGACATATTATTGCTATAAAATCTCTAACTGTCCTCTGTATCATGTCTTTTCGCAAATATCTGTTGAGGTTTTGATATGTATACATATAAAGTGGGGGTGGGGTAGGGGTGGGTTTCCAACGGGTATATCTAACACACTTGCATGCATGTAGAGTCGGAGGGGTGGGTGGGTGTTCTAATGGGTATATCTACGAGGGACGTTTAAAAAGTAGTCAGCCTCACCTAGAATATGATACAAATGCAGCTGTTTTTATGTTTTATTTTTCTACATATTATCTGTCAGCCTCAAGCAATTGGTTTTGCTATGTTGCAGCCTCACGATCCCCATTTTGTGTGACTTTGTATCTTGGCTTGGTACTGCCTAAAAAAACATAAAATCTGCAATAAAATGCATCACAAACTTCAGGAAACAAAATATTGTATGTTTGAGATTGGTAGAAGTTGGCTAGAATTTACCGACACCACTTGAATTTAGTGACCTTGAGGTCATTTTAGAGGTCACAGCGAAGGTGTAACAGTTTTGCACATGCCAAGCTTGGTAGCCGTGAACTCAGGAAAGAATTAATACAGTTTGATCCAATTTTCTATCAAGGTATATTGGCGGGATTCCCCCAACACCGATTGATTGGGGATGTTGTGCTCATTGTAAGTTCACAGTGAAAATTGTTTTGCACATGTCTAACTTTTAAGTGCAAAAATACAAGACAGAATTAATATATTTTGCTTAAAAGTAGTACCAAGATGTGTTGGGAGTATGGTCTAACGGTAGTCGAATTCAGTGACCTTCGGATTATTTTCAAGGTCACAGCGAGTATTCTTGCGATATCTCCAAACCTAACGGATGGACTTTGTTCGTATTTTGTATCAAGGCATCAGATGACAGTTTCGGTAACATTTACATAATTTTCAGGGTCAGGCAGAGGATTATTGCGGCAACATTCAGATATCAACATGTGGCGGGGGTAATAGGTATGTTTGTGACAAACGCTTTTTCATTACTTATTTTCAAATGTTTGTTGGCAAATGGTTTCTATAATTTCATGATAATTCTACCAGCTGTGAAATTATTCATGACACATCTTAAAAAGCCAGAGATTATTTGTGTATGTTTCAATATTAAAGGTAATTGTTTTTGATTATGGAGTTATTTTCGATGTTGACGCAAGGACACATTTTACAAGCAATTGCTTTCAATAATTTAATGTTATTTCTACTACATTTTGAAGTTCTTCATAGCATATCCCAAAATAACAGGATATTGTTTGTTTACGCGTTGAAATGTACGTTTATTCTTCTTCATTTTCGAATTATTCTCAATGTTGAAGCAATGACATATTTGAAGTTAATTGTATGTTTTGATCATATGGGATTTATTTTGATTCATGTTTCGATCATACATTCATATATTGCGTTGTCATAGTTTAACTTGGTTCGTATTATTTTCTTCATCATATTACTACATATTGTATTTTTATGAGAGGGAATTTTATGTTATATTTGCTAAGGATATCAACAGTCGCTAGCGCCTGGTTATTCCTTGCCACATAGCAGTCAATCTGTCTACTAATTTGTTGTATTTGATTGATGCATTTAAAATAAAATGTAGAAATGCTATTGAATTTTATCAGTTGCTTCAAGGAATCGATTATATGTGCTCGTTATCAAAGTAAAGTCAAAACTTCTTTCTGTAAGGTATACAATGTAAGTTGGCACCTTAATTGTTATGGGTAGACTAAAGAAATCATTTATTTAGTTTCACCGCTCAAAATACAACAAAGAAATCAACGGGTGACATTAACCTCAAAGAATGATCATAACAATGCTTATACTGACTGACTGAGTTTGGTTTTACGCTGCTTTTAGCAATATTCCAGCAACAGCACGGCGGGGAACACCAGAAATGGGCTTCACACATTGTACCCATGTGGGGATTCGAACCTGGGTCTTAGGCGTGACGAGCTAACGCTTTAACCACTAGGCTACCCCACCGCCCAACAATGCTTATAGCCTACG